GCAAAGTTATATTCAGAAAGAATAAACCAGTTTTATTTAAGAAAGGACTTGTTTTGCTAAAGTTTCGTCGGAACGAATTTACGGAAAATTAACTAACGAACGGAGACGTAACAATATTGCTTACTGAAATGTTTCTTACATAAAAAAATAAGAATGACTACTTGATAACATCTATTATTAGTTGAGGTATTTCTAATGTTAAGGACTGAATATATATACAAAAGCAGTATATATTTCTTTTTCCATTCACTTTTCTGTGCAAATACAGTCAATCATTATTACCATTGGCATGTTTTCTATCCCAAACATTAAACATTTCACTGCTTAAGTAACATTTAAATTGTTTTTGCTATAAGTAAAAGTACAAAATATCCTAGAATTTAACTACGTAAATAAATTCAAGAAATTGATTTATATATTCTGATAGGAACCTACACAACTGAAAGGTACATGCAGTATCTGTTATAGCATAGTTACATCCTGTATCAACTTCTGGCCAGAAGCTCACTTTAGCAATCTGCATTGCCTCCAAGACACCATCGGTGATGTCTTCAAATTGTCCATGGAGACTCTCTTCAAGGCGATCTAGCACATATGTCATGGTACTTTCAGTGTCCCTGTTTCCTGTCAACCCCTCACCCTGTCACCATCCTTAAGACCCTGTAGATGAGGTGGTGTTTTTTTTATAGAAAAAAGAAAGAAAAATGTGAAAAACATAAAACATGAAAGTACAAGCATAATATTGTCATAACACAAATTTTCAAGCTGGAATAGTTTCTGATAAGATTATTAGTTTGCCAATGAATGAACAGAGTCTGTCTGATGATATGAGATTGTTCTCAGCAAAGTCATTATACATGCTTTTTACTCTGTCTGAATGAGGCTAACATCTTCATTAAAAACTGTAATAGAATGAAATTGCATTTTACATTTTCCTCTCAAAAGAAGAGAAAACCTGACATCAGATTTAATGATAAAAAAAATTGTCAGAAACATGTATGAACTTACCTGGTTTTGTACTTCTGAAGTGTGGTAAGACAAGCATTAATGGAGGCATTGACATCTGCCACAGTCATATTCATTTTATGTGAAGTAAGTGACAGTGTTACCACCACATCAAGCATAAAGTGGATAAACTTGAATATGCCTTTCTGCTTTAAGAGCCTCAAGAACCCCTTGGCTTTGGCCTTAGCATCAGTCGAATACTCTGGTTGTGCTTCAACCAAATATGCATTCTAAAACACAAGTAATACATAATTAACTAAAATATAAACCTAAATAAAATTTAACTGTCTATCAATCTAATATGTATAAGGTAAGAAAGAGTAGCCAAATGCTAGGAACCTCACTAGGGACTAAGCTTTGTTTTAATGCATACGTTCAAATCCATACACTGGTAATGTATTATCCCATAGTTAGATAAATAGCAGGAAATCTGCTCTTTCTATTAGATATAAGCATGTCATTCAACTTCAAACTGTCACATAGCAACACAACTTCAACTTTGCAAGTGGGAGTGGCTAACCTTAAACTTTAGAAAGAATTTAAAATGGTTTCCAGTGGGGAGATAATCTTGAATCATTTCCAGACAGTAATAATATACATCTCTATGGTGAACTTTGAATATCTAACATATCAGTCTATGTTAGCTACTCACAGTTGCTTGTATAAGAGCTCTTAAAAGTTGAGAATTGTAACTGCAAGCAGATCACATTACAGAAAAAAACTGCAGTTTTAATTGCGATTTTAGATATTTCTTTTTGAAATTTTTATCTAATTTTTAATAGGCCATTTATACTTTTTTATACTTATTTATACACTTTTTTTTTGTGATTTAACTTTTACCAGCCCTCATTGATTTGTACTGTATACTTGTACATGTATGCACTTCCATTCTGGAAATTCATAATTAGTAAGAAGTACAAGTATAGTGTACAGAAGAAGGGTAAAGTTAATCTGTGCATGTTCATGAAAACTTTTTACAGATGTGTATTTAGGACAAATGCTTGTTTGTCATAAGTGAATGGTAATTATCTAAATTTTCCCCCTTTTCAGTAATGCAAAGTAATTCTTTTACCTTTTGTTACTATTGATGATATAAGATTGGTGCAGATATCATAATAATGTCTTAATATGCCAGTTTTTTTTTATATGTTTCTGCAAAAATGTTCTATAGGTGACAAAATAATTACATTTTCTTTACATGCTTATATAAATATATGTGAAGAAGGTTAAGTACATTATATTAAAACAATTTTGAATTAAGTGTAACAGCAAGTCACATGATAATCACAGCAGATATAAAGTCAGAGTGGAACAGCATGTATTATCTTGACATCATTTCAATATTTGGATGGTGTGATGCCACCAAAAATTTATCACTTTTGTGTAACAGCTTTTTCTAACATAAAATATTCATACACTTCCATCATAAAGATGTGTTTAGATCTGGGATTTAGAATTTCCAAGATGTGTATATTCTTTGTAGTTAATGGCATTGGAAAATAAAGGTATATAAATCAGTTTGGAGTACCAGGACCATCCTGAAAGCGACCTGGAAAAAGTTTTACCCAAAATGTGGTAAGAAAAGTGAATCATCTTGTAGCAGATTAGAATCTACCAACACAAAAGTCAGTGGTAAAACTGTTCATATGTTCCAGATAACATTATGCAACTTCATGAAGAAGGATCTTCATCTGGAAAAGTGGCATAAGTAACATGTATCCAAATTTCATCCACTACATATCTGCTTAGCCATTAAATATCTCAACCAGCTGGAGAATGAAACGGGTATTCAAGCTATTTCTTATTAAAACATACTGATCAAGTTGCCAGATGAAGCACCTGTGCATTTCTGTATGATTGTACTGTTGAAATGGGTGCTGGAAAACTGTCAGCCTTGTATGTATTGCTCCATGAGAAAGTAAATGTAATGATAAAGAAGCAATTTGATATGTTAGTTGTTTATGGTAAAGGTTGTATTTTTTATTTAATTTGTAGGACAAGTTCCTTCCTCATTCAGATGTGAGATTTCTGAAGTTACAAGAAGATATTCCTCACTGTGAATCTGAAAATCAACAGACATTGGGAGAATTACTTGTGGGCTTTTTGAACTATTACAGTAACAAATTTGTGTAAGTAGTAGTGACATTTTTAAATATAATCTAGAGTGTGAGTTTTTTGAATTATTAAAAGATACATAATTTTAGAATTACAAGGTTCACAGAGGTTCTTGAAAGCATGTAATGCTGAAATTTCATCTTCTAGGTCATGAAAATCAGGAAATTTTGTAACAAATCATTTAAAATCATGTACATCATGAATAATGTACAATAAAAGTTCATCTTTAACCTCGTGGTTCTCATTTCATAATAGTATTTTCAGTATGTTAACTTAGTGCTATGTATTGTACAAATAAAGTTACATATTACAGCAGCATGTTGATCACTTCCATCATACACAATTTATGTAATGCTCAGTTTTTTATCTTGTGTGCTTTCACTCCCAAAAAAAGTAATGAGACTGTGAAATTTTTATTAATAACAATCTAGAAAGAAAAATATTTTCTGAAATATATGTTCGTAAGTTATAGAATACTGTCATCTATGGTATAAAATTGAATTTATCATATTTTGTTGTAAATTAAACATATTTTTTAATATATTTTTTTAATTTCTAAATTAACTTGGAATTCTTTAGAAAAATCTGGGTATTACCAAAGATAGTTTTTATTCTGCCAAAGCGTTATCAGAGTTCAAATTCTCATAGTGACAAGTATCATGTGATAGTTCCCAGCACATGCACATTTCAAGATGTATGACTGTTCCATGACAATTGCAGGAAAGTCAGCAGCAACTACAGGAAAGTCAACAACAGTGGCAAGAAGTACGAATGGAAAACACAAGTAAATTTCAAAGTGAATTAAATACATTAAAGGACGATTTACTGTCTTTTACACAGGGAGGATATATTAACCATGGACCTAATCAGCCCCAGACAACAGGAAGCCCCTTCCAGACCCCACAGCTAAACCCTAATGCAGACATCTTCAGTCCTGCCAGAAGTCGCATTCCAGACATGAGTGTCTGCAATAGGGGGTGATCTAGTACGAAGAAAGCCACAGGAATTCAATGGGAAGGCACTGTGGGAAGCATATAGAGCACAATTTGAACTCCTGGTAGAGATGAATGGATGAACAGATGAGCAGAAAGCAGTATATCTGGCAACGAGCCTAAAGGGACAACCACTGGAAATACTTGGACAGTTGTCAGCAGATGACAGGCACAACTATAGAGCACTGGTAACTGCTCTAGAACTCTAGTATGGAACTCAAAATCAGTCCAAAGTCTACAGGGCTAGGTTTAGGACGAGAGTTCGTGCTAAAGGGGAGAGCCTGCAAGAGCTGGCACAGGATTTGGAAAGTATGTCACACAAGGCCTACTCAACTGCACCACCCGATGTCCTCAAGCTGTTGCTGAGAGGCCAGTTTGTAGATGCCTTAGACAGTCCACAACTGAAGATACAAGTAAAGCAAGCACATACTTCTACTATGCA